GTTGCAGTGCTGGGAACTGAACCCAGGACCTTTATGCTAGGCAATTAACCTACCACTGAGCCATATCCCCAGCCCTAACTAAAGTTTCTGAGCACTTACCATATACCATTTACAAGCTTATTTTATGCTCATAACAATTCTATGTGGCAGATACTGTTAATCCCATTTTTCAGATGAGGAAAATTGAGACTCAGATTAAACCATAAGTGAGAAAACTTGGAAATGGTCTAAAACTTGCTTATGGTGATGACAGTACAACTCGGCAGATTTGCTACAGAGTTGTACATTTTATGATGGGTTAAAGTTGAGATATGTAAATTATACTTCAATGAAGCTGTTGAAAAGAAATAAAGAAACCCACTGAATCCAGTAAATGATAGGGCCCTTTTCCACCATCCCATAATGCACTGGACTGTCATCTTCTGTTAGTTTCTATGTATTGTCCTTGAAAGCAATAGACTCAGAAGCCAGACTGCTCGGGTTCAAATCCAAGCTCTTGCACTTAACAGCTCTGAAACCCAAACAAGATACTTGACCTCAATTTCTTCACCATAAAATGATAAATATGGCCAGGCATGGAGGTGTGTGTCTGTAGTCATGACTACTCAGGAGGCTGAGGCAGAAGAATTACTTGAGCCCAGGAATTTGAGACCAGCCTGTACAACATAGACACTTCTCTCTTTAAAAACGTTTAATATCCTGGTGCAGTGGTGCATGCCTATAATCCCAGTGTGGCTCAGGAGGCTGAGGCAGGAGGATCACAAGTTCAAAGCCAACCTCAGCAAAGCAAGGCGATAAGCAACTCAGTAAGACCCTGTCTCTAAACAAAATGCAAAAATAGAGCTGGAGATGTGGCTCAGTGGTCAAGTGCCCCTGAGTTCAATCCCTGGCATTAAAAAAAAAAAAAAAAAAAAGTTTAATAAAAGACAAAAAAATGATACCTATGACATAGACTTCTTGTGAGGATTCAATATGTTAATATAGGTTAGAACTGCCGCTGAGGCACACTGGTGCTATATATGGACCATCATCTCTGGCTTTGCAGCCAGCTGGGTCTCTTAAAGGGGCCCGCTTCTCCCTGGCAACCCCGCCCCTGCTCTCCTGGCTCCTTAAAGAAACACTCCTCTTCGAAGTCCATCTTTGGAAAAACACTGTGCTGGCTCCCAGCTCATCTCACTTCCTGGTAACAGAGAAACTGCATCTTCCCGATAAGGAGTGACTCGCTGGCTCTGTAAAACACTCATTACAGAGCCAGCATTTCCCTAGGGACTCTTTCTCCTGGGTCTTAAGCTGTCAATAGAGGGCCCTTCTTAAGCTCCCCCTACCCCAGGCCAGCCGTGAGGCCATAGTGGTTAAGGATGGGGTCACAGCTTTACCCCCACCCCACTCCACCCCATGCCACCAGCAGAGGAAGCCCCTTGCAGGCTAATTCCTCAACTAAAAATGACAAGGATAATGAATGGACAGTCAGATTTCTAGCGCTCAAAAATGGGCTGTCAAGCACAGAGCCCACCACTGGGGGGAGAGGGGGGACAATGCAAGGGACAGGAGCACTTGCACTTTGGTGAGATAATGGGAGCACTCTCCCATTATCTCACCAAATACTCATCACAGCCTCCTCTTAGGTGGCTATTGCTGCTCCCTGGGTATCAACACCCCCTTTTACCCACAAGCAAACTGAGGTACTTTAGCAAACAGCACAAGCAAAGCATGGAGTCAGGTCCTCTGCGGCCAGGCCCAGTGTTTTTCCACTGGCTTCAGAGGAGGAAGTCAGAAGCTCCTAGGACTCCACCTCAGGGTGCTAATAACCTTTATTAAATGCTCAAGAAAATCAAGCAATGTACAATCTCCACATCCCTGCAAGGGCCTTACAAACTGCTCTGGCAGCCCTGAGCAAGAGTCAGGAGGGTCAAGACTGTCCCCCTGCCCTGCCCTGAGCCTGTGGACCACAAGGAACGTAGGAGTTATGATTCTGTTCACACTCCCCAAATCCCACGTCAGATAACTCAAGCTACAAAACAAATCAGCACTGGTCCACAGAGCTCAAGGTGGCAGAAAACAGGCAGAGACCCCAAAGAAATCAGGCTATGACTGAAAAAGCATTTGTTGTGCTTCCCCGGGCTTCCAAAGCTCTCACTGTATCCAGGCCAGATCTGAGGCTATGTGGGTGACAACAGGCTTTCTGCACTGATATTTTAAAACCTTTTTGTCACATTGACATTGACCTTCTTGTTAATAATCTCCTGCCCTGAAGCAGGATTGGCTCTAAGTGGGGAGGAGGGAGCAGGGGAGCTGTGGAGTTTTTTTATTTTTTTTGAACCCCAGGGTACTCTATCCTGAGCTCCAGCCCTTTTATTTTGAGACAGGGTCTCTCTAAATTGCCCAGACTGGCCTTGAACTTGCAATCCTCCTGCCTCAGCCTCCTGAGTTGCTGCGATTACAGGCAAGCACCATCATGTCCAGTAAGCTGTTAGATTTGAAGATCCTTCAGTAAGGTCACCTTCTCTGATGGGGGTGGGGTGGGGCACAGTGATCATACCAAAGATCCCCTGCAGGGAGCCTAAGTCCCTCTCTGTCCATTACTTTCCAACCATTTCACTCTCCAGCTGTCTTTTGGCTCGCCCCTCCCTCCCCTCCTTGCCTTTACCTCTTATTGATTTTCATATTTAAGGAAAATCCATTTGCTTGATTCAGAGCAACTGAGTCATCAGTGTTCAGATGAAAACCACTCATTAGGTAGGCACTTGGCAGAGGCCACTAAGAGATGGGCGGAGACCCAGTTTCTTACCCAAATATCCCTCCATACATACTAATTTCTATCTTCTCTCCTCTGTCACTTTGTCCCAGCCACCTGCTCTGTAGCCTTCATATCCTCTACTAATCATTCCAACCAGACTGGCCCCCTCACTCCCACCCTCCCCCAAACCATCCACTTGTTTGCCACAAGTTCACAGCTAGAAGTCTGTGATTGGGACATTTAGAGCAGAGCAAGGGAGGACTTGTACATGAGTCACTCATGCATTGGAGAGAAATATTGATCCTATGCACAAATGGAAGAGACTTAACCCTTAGTTAAGTTAGAGCTATGGCCTTCTTTTCCACCCTGAGTAGTACCCAAGGAACAGCATCAGGCCAGCATTACCAGTGTGGAGGGATGGGGTCCTCATGCAGCCTTACAATGGATAGGTACAATTCCTTCTCGATGCACATTTGCATGCCACCTGCATGGTCTCTTGTCCCTGGGCCTAGAAGGGCCAAGAAACTCAGCCAGACCCATCCTTGAACACTTGAAAAAAGGACAGGACTTCTTCTTAAAGGACCGGATTTCTTATTTATGCTAAGGGGACTGTGAAAAGCAAGAAAAGACTGCGGCTAGCACATCATTGAATGTTAAATTGGATGCAAGTTTGTAGACTTGGAGATCAAAATAATAGCCAGTGTTTACTAAGTAAAAACTATGTGTCAGGCACTATTTTAAGTGTTTCATCTATAATACTTCATTTTATCCTTCCAGCAAACTTTTAAGACAGGAACTATTTTTATCCCATCTTACAGATGAAGAATCTGAGGATGTCAGAAGTTTTTGTTCAAGAAGAATTTGTTCAAGTTTCTATGGCTAATAAGCAGTAGACCCATGCAATCTGCATTAAAAATCCCCACTTTGGGGATGGGTTTGTAGCTCAGTGACAGAGAGTTTTTCTAGCATGTTCAATTCTCAGCACCACATATAAAGAAATAAATAGATAGATAAATAAATAAATAAATAGATGTCCATGAACAACTAATAAAAATATTTTTTAAAAATCCTCACTTTTAACCACTTATACACAGGGTAAGAGGCTCATCTCAGCTGTCACTCTACATTCCCCTCACACTGCCAAAAGACAATTCATTCTTTTCTATGATGAACCAGGAATGTCTTGAATGTCACTGTTCCTTGTCTAGTGGTCCCTATCTCCCGCTATGTCCATGGCTACTATGCTGATTCGGTTGGTGGTGTAACCAGGACTCAGGAGCTTTAATCCTGACTCTGCTCCCACTGACTGATTTGGCAGCAAAGAGCTCTGTGACCTCCTAGGGAGTAAGTATTTTGCTTTCCTCCAACCTCCCTATAAATCAGTTCTGGTGTTTGTTGGGGAAGTGTCTGATCACAATCTGCTAGGTCCTTGGCCCCAGTTATTTCCTTTCTCCCATATAGATCAAAACCTACTCCAGGAGCACATGCCACCTGATTTCCTCCTTCCTTCTGACCTCAGAGCCTGGAAGCCCCCAGAGCAGAAGAAGCGGTAGCCTCCTGGCACTACAGACTAGTTGTGCCAGGCTCAGCTGAATGCACTTTATACACTCTTCTCAGGTCCTGTCATTTCCTCTCCCCTCTTCCCCTTTTCCCAAGTCCCAGAAAGAAGGAGGGGCTGCGACAAGGTCTGGAAGGTGGGGAAAAGTCACTTATTTGTTTTGCACCCCAAAGTCCCGTCTCAGACAGTATGACTTTTAGAGGTGCACAGAGAGGGAGGAAAGGGGTGGCGGGAGTCGGATGCGGGGTAGGGATGTTCAATGGTCCATCTGTGTCCCCTTCTCTGAAAAAACCGCAAAATCAAAGGCAGCCGGGGGACGGTGTGGGGGAGGAAGGAACCTCGGCCTGGAAGTGGTGGTGGCGGGTTCCTGGGCAAAGGAAAAGCTCAATTGTGCAAAGGCTTCCTGTCCTGACAGCTCGCAGCCTCAGCTCCGCCACCGAGCAGCCGCTGTTCTGCGGCGGGCTGGGGAGGCGGGGCGGGAAGGCGAAGGCAGGAAAGGGTTACGGGAATAGCTTTCCAATGACAAAGTCTGGAAGGGACCCATGCCTCCGCCCCTCTGCGGGTTAAACTGGCACAGTGCAGAAGCGGAAAGCGAGGGCGATCCGGAGCCAAGCCTCCCCTGCCGCCCGCCCCCCGGCCCGGGCACTCCCCTCCCGGGCCCGCGGTGGAGGCAGCCGGCGTGTGCCTGGGGCAGCGGGTCACGAGGCTCCGCCCCCGACCGCCTGGCCCGGGGGGACGGCACTTTGTTCAGGATGCCGCCTCCTCCTCATTGTGGGGCCGGGGCCGGCGGCGGCCCTAGTGCGAGGCCCGAGGCCGGATCGCGCTGCGCCGGCTGAGACTAGTGAGAGGGGCCGACCCGGGTCGCGGAGCCCCCAGAAAAGTTTCTGTGTGCGAGGAGAGGACGCCCGGACCGGCGCTGCTAGGAGATGCGCGACTCTGCGCTGCGGTGGTGGCGGCGGCGTGGACCCCAAGCCCCGGAGGACAGGCGCGCCGGTAAGTGACCCGTGCGGGGCGGGAGCCGGGCGGAGGGTCTGAAGCTCCGCACTTTGCGCGGCTTGGCTGGCGGGTCCTGCGAGGCCCGGAGCCAGCCTCCAGAGAGGGGAGCCTGGTGCCAGAGGGGTGCTGTGGCTTGGGCTCGGGAGACGCTTTGGAATAACAACGCAGATGCTAGCAGCTTGTTTGGAAGGTGTGTCCCCAGACGTCGCTCCCCAACTGTGCCGCTGACTCTGGGGGTCGGCTCTCCAGGGCTACCCAACTCCAATCCTTCTGATCCCAGGTTCCCTTTCTGTGAAATATCTGGGATTTAAAGTGCGTTGCGTTCCTAAAACCGGAGGCACCAAGCGCGCGCGCGCTCTCTCTCTCTCTCTCTCTCTCTCTCTCTCTCTCTCTCTCTCTCTCTCTCTCTCTCACACACACACACACACACACCAGTAACCCACATTTCCCTTGTTTTGAAGCGCTTAGTTAACTCTTCTCCCAACCCAGCAGGAGCCTGCAGAATAGCTGGGACAGGTGACCTTGCAAGGCCCCCAGGATGCGCTTCTCTCTGAAGCTGTCTTTTCTGGCGCCAATCCAGAGAGTTTGGGAGCAGAAAAGTGCTCCCGGAGGATATGAGAGGGAAGAAAAGGGAGAGGTTGGGTGAACATCAGGTGAGACGCTCATCCTAGGGTGTCCGGTGCCTGGTCCTTGAGGTCCCTTCAAATCCTCAGAACCTGGCAAAACTGATCATAGGATTGAGCCCAAGCCACATCTGAGGGAGCAGAGAAGAGACAGGAGCTGGGGAGGACATGAGCAGTGGGTGGCCAGGGGTAGTGAGCTAGGGTGACATCCACCCAGCAGAGAGGGTTCCTTGTGCCCAGAGCCCAACACAGGAAAATCAGCTGGTGAGTCAATGGGACTTTGTTAGGATAGTCACAGGGCGCAGCTGGCGCCGGCTTAAGGGAAGCGCTGGATCGCCCCTTGATAACATGCTGTTTATCTGGCTTCCTGTTTCAGCCATTGGGATACCATTGGCTCGTTCAAATTCAATGCTGAGACCCTGTGGCCAGTAAGCTCTGCAAAAGCAGTGAGCTTGCCAGGGTTTTTGGGGGCTATCTTTTTTCTAGCCTCTCCTCAATTTAGGTCCCTACAACTCACTTATGAACGGGCAGGAGGGCTTCAACAAAGAATGCCGTCCCCAAGAAGGTGGAGTTGTCACTCTGGAGACATTGGCTTATTGGGGGCCAAAGATACCCAGTGACTCCAGCTTGCTTATGATTATTTTTATCTTGCTTTGAATTTTGGTTGGTACTCTTTGGTTTTACCCTGGGAAGGTTGTGGAGGGAGTGGCTGTAACTTTGGGCTTCCTCTTTTGAGATGAGCTTTATACTGGTACATGGTTTCACTGCTGGATTCAGTTTATAGTTCTGTATCTGGCTACATTGCCAACTCTCTGGATGATCCCAGTGCAAATAATTCCTCACCTTTCTGCTCTGGTTTTCATTTTTGTAAAATTGAACCAGAGAATATAGCTACTGCTGGAAGAATAAGATTTTTCAAATTTGTGCTCCAGCCTCTAGGGTCCATTTCCTGAACATTCCAGGTACTAGTACATATCATAAATAGATAGCAGCCCTTAATCTGAACTCTTCCAGAAATTTATCTGAATTCCCTTGGAGCAAGTCTCACATTCTGCTTTGCATTTTAGACATTTGGGTATTTGTGCACATGCCTGACTTCTGTGTGAATGTCTTCCAACCAAACACCCTTTCTGACCCTCTGCAACCCCCAGTACACAGTAGGTACCTTATAAACATTTGCTGAATTGATAAAATTGGGAGGGGAATCTAAGTACCACAGAGGTCTCCTATCTCACTCAAGTGCCCATTTATTCATCTTTGGGAGTTATTTGATATGCCTCCTCATGGTCCCCCCATCCCCTCAACTAAAACAAGTAAAAAAATCATGGCCCACGATGAGGCTGATTTGTGAGGCCCAGCTGTCCTGGTGAGCCTTGGCTTGGGAAAACTGAAAGTGGAGATATGCTGTTTGTCCTTCCCTGGCCTCATCTACTCCCCGCACCCAAGTCTTTGTGAGCCTTCCCTATTGACTCAGCTTTTAGTTCAGTAGAAAAGAGTGGCCTGCAGTAGAAAAAGTTCCTGCCCATCTTTTCAAATGTGTGTCTCTTTTCATTTCAATGTCATTTTCAATCAATGTCACTTCCCCCTTCTTTCAAAATTCTCTTGATTCCTAAAGAATATGTTTTTGAACAACTAGAATGTTAAAGTCAAAAGGATCTCAGCCTCTCCCAGCTGTGGTCCTCCCCTTCTTCCCTTCACAGACAAGAATCAGGGCCTCCTAAAGGAAGGGATGGGCTCCTGGCCACACAGCTGTGGCGCTGCTGAGGACAGCCTAGAGCACAGGTCTTCTGGCTCCCTGACCAGAGTTCATTCTCTTCTAGCAAATTTCTTCCTTGTACTCAGAATTTTTCTGCCTCCAGCATTTCCATCCACAGATCTGAGGAGATGTTACTTAGCTGTTAGAGAGAGGAACAGAAACAGCAAGGGGTACAAAGAGCTATCATTATGATGGAACCACCTACCAGCTTTCAGTCTCTAGAACACAGAGATCTGAGAAATGTGGCAATACTTGGCAAGCCCTTCCTCTTTCTGACCCCTAGTGTGTGTGGGTAAGACACACACACAATAATTAAAAACACTTTTAGTTCCTTCTTCGATTAAACAAAGAAAAAGAAAAACATCAACTTTTCAAGTGAAAAAAAAAACAAAACACTTTTCTCAGTGAACAGTTTCCTGGGCCTAATCTATTCCCTCCACCTCCTAGGAAGACTGACTCAGACTTGATTTCCTCCAGGGGGCCTGGGATTTTGCTTCCCAGCTTCCTAAGACTCTTGAGACGCAAAGGGAGGCAGGATGGCTGAGACTCAGCCTACGCTCATCAGGCCACGGATGAGGTTCAACTTCTTACGCATGTCCTATGCTGCGCTACCAGCCTCATCAAATCTATTTGCTCTACTTAATTTTAATATGAGATGCACTAATATGCATGAAAAATTAAAGGCGCTGATGCATATGCCTCCACAAAGCACCGTTAATAACAAGATGTTTCCACTTCAAAGGATGACAAGACTCTTCTGATGTCCAATCCTCAGATACTCTGAAAGCTTTCCAAAATGGAATTGTTCTGAATTTCCTTTTTGGATTCTCCATTGCTGGGGTATAGATTCCCAAATGATTTTTGCATGTTGATCTTGTTCCCTGCTGAATTTGTTTATTACCTCGAGAAGCTTTTTTGTATGTGGATTATTTGGGATTTCCTATATATGGGATCAGGTCAATTATGAATAGAGATAGTTTTACTGCTTCCTTTCTAATTTAGATTCTCTTTATTTTTCTAGTTCCTGGCCTAATTGCTCTGGCTAGAACTTTCAGTACAGTGTTGAGTAGCAGCAGTGAAAGCCAGCCTGCCCCTCTTGTTCCCCATCTTAGTGGGAAAGATTGAAATTGTCTTTCTCCATTGCGTGTGATGTTAGCTGTGGGTTTCTCATAGATGCCCTTTATCATCTTGAGGAAATTCCTTTCTATTTCTAGTTTTCTAAGTGTTTCTATAGTGAAAGGATGTTGGATTTTGTCAAATGCTTTTTCCTACATCACTTGAGATAATCATGTGGTTAGCTTTTTTCTTTAATTTTGTTAATGTGATTATTTTTGTTAATTGGTTATTTTTCTTATGTTGAACCACCCTTGCATTCCTGGGATAAATCCCTCTGAAAGATAGTTTTTGTATTTTGTTCTTTCTTTTTCTTTTTTTTTATCTTCAAAGTTTTATGTCACCAAAGCAATAGTAAAGCTTCAACCTTCAGTGGGATGAGTTGATGCATGTAATTACATTTTTCTGTATAATTATTATCATTGAAACATTTAAAATCTTTATGTTGTGGTAAAATGCATATATAACATAGAATTTACTGTTTTAAATGCTTTTAAGGGTACTGATGTTCAGTGGCATTAAATATGTTCTCATTGTTGTGGAATCATCACCACCAACTATCTTCAGAATGTCTTAAATCTTTCCAAATTAGACCTTGTATCCATTATAGAATTACTCCCTGTCCCTCCCCCCAGTCCCTAGCAGCCACCATTCTACCTCCTGTCTATAAATTTGCAAACACTTTGTAATACCTAGAAAGGTCAAGGCTTCAAGAATTACAGGGTTAAAGAGCCTTAGCTTCTGGTCTCCCAAACAATCTCCCAATAAGTCCCCCTGCCAGGATGAGACTGGTCATCTGGTCATCTTAGTTTCTGGTCATTGGTCATCGTGAGGCTCAGAGAGCACAACAAAAGGGCCTCAGGGGGAACTCCATTTCCTCTAGCTCAGTGCTTCTCCATCTTGTTTGAGAATTAGCCGTACCTGGGGATTTTTTAAGCCTTTCTGATTCCTGGGCCCATCCCCAGAGATACAGCTTCATTTGGTTTAGAATGCAGCTCCTGTAGCTGTCGTTAAAAAAAAAAAAAAAAAAAAAAAATCTCCCTTGGTTATGCTGATGCGCTGTGAGGGTTAGAAACACTCCATGGCTGAGCTGATTTATTCCCTGGACCCCTTGACTGGTCACAGCTTTTAGTGACGCAACTCCCTCCCCATCTGGTCAGTAATACTGACCCACTTTACATCCCTTCCCTGATTTTAAAATCCATTTGTAAATAGAGTAAATGGCAACTTCCGGAGAATTTAACTTTCAGAGTTGGAAAGGACTCCTCTCCTCCTTCTCCCCTCCCCTTCCAGGGGCATGCAGCTCAGCCACATCTGTTGCTGGGGACTCTTAACAGTGTGTTGAAATCATTTTATTCCCTATTTGGACTGTTCTTTTAGAGTTTCTCTTGTATTAATCTGCCATGGGTGTAACTTCCACCCATCGGTGAAAGACACCAAAAGATTAGTGGGCTTCACCAAAATGCATTCCCAAATAAAGTGGGGGATGGGCAGAACAAGTGTAA